GCGTTCCCTTTCTGTGCGACTGCGCATGCTTGTTTTCTCTCCTCCCTCGGGTCGCGCTGCCACGGACGCCATTGGTAGGCGCATAAAACGAAACTCATTGCCTTCATTCACCCTTGCAGTGGGCGTGTAAGCAGCCGTGGGAGGCAGAAGTGGAGAGAGAATGAGAGGGGAGTGAGGGGCGGCGTCCGTGTACGTTTATACATGTATAGATAGACAAGTAGCTGAAAAAGATTACATAGACAGGGCCAGTCAAATTCTTCAATGAGCGTCTATCGGGACTCAACGATTCAGGCTGGCTCGTAGCGTTGCCCACAGCACGTGTTATTCATTTCGTTTTAATTTTCTCTGTTGCTGTGCTGGCTCATCTCTTGCTATCGCGTTTCTGGCGTGGCATGACTCAAAAATTGGGGTGGGGCGTGGGGTGCGTGAGGTGGTCGCTAGTTCTGTTGGACTTCCAATAGGGGACTGCTGGAGGCTGGGGGGTGGGGCATGAGTAGGAATTGACGTGCTGTGGTGTTGACTTGTTGCGGTTGTGTCTTCGGCGCTTTCGTTTTATTTTGTTGTTGCTTTTGCGGCACAAGATGCACACAACGGCAGACCCCAACGCGTTGTTGTTCCCCCCCCCCCCCTCACCAATTTGCGTTGTCGTTGTTGCTGTTTTCTTCTTCTTGACAGCAGTAGTGGCGATAGTGGCGGGGGCGACATCCGCAAAATGCGTTGGTGGTTTCGTGTGCTCCGTTATGACTTGCCGTACATACTGCTGGGCGTCGTCGTTGGTTGGAACACGGATGTATGCTGCTCTGTTAAGGGGCGCTCCATGCTGCCCACGCTTGTGCCAGGGGATTATGTCTTGTTTCTCCCGCACAGTGTGCTCCGTGCTGTTGGCTACCTTTTCAAGCGTCCGCTCGTGCAGAAGGGGGATGTTGTTGTGATGAATATATCGCCTGAGCTGACGGTATGCAAACGCGTCACGCGCTCCACCGCGGACGCGTCCGTCATGCGAAGATGGAGCGAGGAACAATTTACAGAGCTTTCACCGGAGCAGGTGCCTTTGTTGGAGACTGATGCCGCCCCCGAGGAGCTTCGCGCGGCGTACGAGGCAAGAATCTATAACAGTGTCGCGGAGTACGCAAGGTCCCATGACTGGGATGCCTGTCTCGAACGCGTTGAGCGTCCCTCTGCGTGGCTCTGGCTTGAGGGCGACAACCCCGCGGAGAGTTTTGATTCTCGGCATGCGGGCGCGATGCCGGTGGAGTGTCTCAGAGGGCTCGTCCTCCTAAAGGTGTGGCCCTCAATTGGGCGCCTGCCGCCTCGAGCCCTCTCCGATAACTGACAGGAGCGGGGGTGAAAGGCACGTGAGGGCAACACGTGCACGTGCACATCTTCGTTTTCTTTGCTTCCTTGTCCTCCCACTTCTGCGGCGTGGGGAGGCAAGCGAGACGGGAAGGGGGCGCTCCTCTCGCTCTCTCTCCCACTTTTTAATTTTTATTTTATTTTTTATTTTTATTTTTACTCGATGCCGCTTGAGTGGACGTAGGGTCTGTAGCAAAGGGAAAGCGAGGGCCCGCCTCGCTTCTCCCCCCCCGTGTCTACGGGCTCGCTCGCGATGCACGGGGATGTCGTCTCTGACGACGTCGCGTTGGCCGGCGTCAAAAAAGAGATACTTCGGTCTCTTCCCTACTGGAAGTCGTTCGTGGAGCTGCGCGAGGCCTACCGCCGGAGGCCAAGGGTCGCCGCATGTGACGTCGTCATTGAGAGCCGCATGGCATGCTCCCATTTCGTGGGCGTGGACGTGCTCTGGGTGCGGTCGGATGTTGTGCTTGTGAACTGGCGCAGACCCACAAAACGAAGCCGCACAACGGACGTGCCACCTGAGTGCGTCGAGGTGCATCTAAGTTTTGGCTCTATGCATTTTGTTCACCAAAACGCCCACGTCGTCGGCGGAGCTCGTAGCTACGACCTGCAGTCGGTGGTGTGGCTGCAGCGACCCGAACAGCTGCAGTGCGTGGCAGGGAACATGGTGCACTTCGCCTTCCTCGTCTACGGTATGCTGCACTTCACTCCAGAGGCCGGCTCCGTCGCTGCACCGCATGCCATTCTTCCCCCACCCACCGCGGCCGTGTTAGTGCTTGGAATGGGTGGAAATAGCATGGAGTGGGGACTCCGTTACGTACTGGGGGAGGAGGCGCACATTTACATTGCCGAAGTCGAACCTGCTGTGGTAGGCACATGCAGGATGGCTGGCCTTCTCAAGGAAAATGCGAACACACATCTTTCCCTATGCTCTGCGGACGAGGCCATTCGAAAATGTCCAGAGAAGTGCACGTTTGTCTTCATGGACCTCTTCGAGCCGCTCAGTGGAACCATGGTAAATACCATGCCCCTTATCCAACAGGTCTTTGACCTTCTAGAACCCGCTGGAATTCTTCTCATCAATGAGCACAGTATTCCTACCACAGAGCACCTTCTGCCCCTCTTGCGCCAATTTGGGGACCACAACGTGCAGTATATCAACGTTCGAGGTTGCAATGAAAGCATTATTGCCGCCGTAAAGCCTGGAAGTAGCACGGACGGCTTAGGGTGCCGGTGTTCCAAAAAGCTTGCAGAAGAAGTCCTAAACGTTTTTGGAGATGTCTTTCCGGGGTGGATGCCAGGTAAAGAATACATTAAACGCACCAACGTCCTCTACGCGAAGCCTAACACGTTACGCCTTCGCGCACGTCAATGGACCTCATAAAGAAAAAGGAAAATTTTCAAAAAACAAGTCATGCATACAGTCCACAAAACGATAAATACATGAACCGTTGTTGCTGCCGCCGATGCTCGTTCTGCCGCGTCTTGAATGTCTTTTCTCCTCGGCTCTCTCTCTGCCCCCTTTTTTTTTATTTTCGCTCCTGCAAAGTTTGTGCTCGTTGGAAGTTATTCACGATGGTCAACTTTACCGTTGATGAGGTCCGTGCCCTCATGGACTACCCCGAACAGATCCGCAACATGTCCGTGATTGCGCACGTCGACCACGGCAAGTCGACGCTGTCCGACTCTCTTGTTGGGGCCGCGGGTATCATCAAGATGGAGGACGCCGGCGACAAGCGCATCATGGACACCCGTGCCGACGAGATTGCTCGTGGTATCACGATCAAGTCAACCGCCATTTCTATGCACTACCACGTGCCGCCGGAGATGATCGGCGACCTCGCCGACGACAAGCGCGACTTCCTGATCAACCTGATCGACTCCCCCGG